ATTTGAATATATTTTTAATCTTTTTTTTTTTTTTTTTTTTATTATCCTTCCTATTTTGGCCATTCATAATGTGGAATTTCTAGAAACAATAAAATCTATTTAATAACATTTAACAAGAAAAAATTAATTGAATAATTGTCTTGTTGAGGGTTCCTCTTCATTATTTTTTTGGGGGGTCTTCCTACCCGCAATGATATTTTCATGTTTAAAAAAAACAAACAAAAGGTTTATTCGTCTGATCTTAAGAAATGAACTAATGAACATGTGGAGGAAGGGAAGGGCAGGGCAGACAGTTTTTACTTTAATGACAAAATTTATAAAAAAACACAAATAAAAATAATTGTTTGATTAAAAAAAAAAAGAAAAAAATCTAAAATGGTCAATAAAACCCCCCAATTTTTTTTTTAATTAACAAAGACACAAATTGACTAATGAAAGGATAATAAATAGTTTAATTATTATGATTTCAGTCACTAATTATTAAAAATATATCTTGTAATTTTGTTTTCTTTTTTTTTTTTCTCATGTTCAGATGTTGTGGGGGCAGCAAGTAAGGGTATTGAGTTGTGTCATTACTTTTTGCCATTGTTTGAATTCTGCCTGGTGCCATGGCTTCATTTGGAGAGAAGCACATTTTGGTATTTCAGGACTAAAGAGAAAACAATTGGAACTTTGGAAATCTATTTCTATTTTTTATTTCTCTGTTTTAGAATCATTGACTCTTGTATTGTTATTAATTAGAGTAAAATTTTGTTCTGATAAATTTTTTTTTTTTCTGCCTCGATATTTTTAATTTCAATAATATTTTCTCTATGTGTTTTTCTCAGAGTGATCAGTTTGGTTGAAAATCATGATTACAATTGATCTTGAACATTTTTTCTTTATAAAAATTTTAATAGAAAAACAACTACAGTTTATATCTATTTATTAATTAGGAAATCCTGAAGAGATTTAGCGTTTACACTTGACAGATTTTGTGCATTTGACTAATACGATTCTAACCCCTAAAAGAAATCTTTTTGCATCCTAGTTTGAAACTGGCAAATTTCTTGTTGGTATTCACTAAACTTAACTGAGTATGGCATGAGAATACGAGAGTGGTGTGCCTAGTAAGGGTCATACTCATTATTGTCTTATGTTGAGTTAAAAGAGTATTTATTAAGATAATCTGTAGGGAACCTGAATTTAGTAATTGTCAGTTCAATCCCTGGGCTGGGCAGTGTGTAATTGGACTCAAGGGAAATGGGCAGGAAATAACTGAACAGTACTAAAAATAGAAACTTTATGATATCCCTAGACATTGGCGATGAAACAAGGATAGTCTACCCTCATAGATTAATTAAAGGGTTCACTTCAGAATTTCCTGTAGTTTATCCTGATCGATATACACCTGAGGAAGTCTTGAGGGCACAACAGCTGAAGCATTAGGATAACAACAATAAATATGAGAACAATAGTCTGACTATAAATATGAGAACAATAGTCTGACTATAAATATGAGAACAATAGTCTGACTATAAATATGAGAACAATAGTCTGACTATAAATATGAGAACAATAGTCTGACTATAAATATGAGAACAATAGTCTGACTATAAATATGAGAACAATAGTCTGACTATAAATATGAGAACAATAGTCTGACTATAAATATGAGAACAATAGTCTGACTATAAATATGAGAACAATTGTCTGACTATAGTGCAAATAATCTGTGAGGACTATAAGATTTTTATTAGGGACATTTTGAAAATTGATATGTCCCGGAAAGGGATATATTTGAACAAAGTAGCTAAGTGGTTTTGGCTACTATAACCAAGTAGAATACGGTAGCAGTAATCGACTAGATCAATGTCGTAGTCCAATGGGTGTCGTTATAGATTTAACTCTCAGACTAAGGCTTTGACTCTCCTACACATCCGTCGGTATTTATGATGGACACCAGCCAATCATATTCCAGTGAGGGAGAATACAGGTGTATGCATATTCCATTATATCAAAAATATATATCACACACACACACACACACACACACACACACACACACATATATATATATATATATATATATATATATATGTGTGTCTCTATAGAATTTGTCTGTGCTGCTGATTCTATAGCAATTGTTTTTAATCATTATACCCTAAGGAAGGCAGTAAAGCAATGAAGGCATAAAGGGTTACTGGGGATGAAAGAATAAAAAAGAGAAACATCAAGGAGTGAGAAGAATAGAAGAAGAATCAAGAAGACACTAGATAACAATTCACATGGCATTTAAACTTTTGAAAATCAAAGTTGTTAGAAAAGAGTTCCATAAGTGAGAAGTGTGAAAAAAGAAACTTAGCATAGAACTTGCGATTACATTTTGCCAATTCAACTGTAAAAGGATGAGACCTTGTTGCCAATCTAGTACTGCACTTAAATTCATTCTGGGTTTTACAATTTCATTGTTAAAATCTCTAGCTGTAACCATAACTTTTATGCTAATAGTTTATTCTCACATACTTCTTGCTTCAGAACTCCCTTCTGGCTTCTTGCTTCAGAACTCCCTTCTGGCTTCTTGCTTCAGGACTCCCTTCTGGCTTCTTGCTTCAGAACTCCCTTCTGGCTTCTTGCTTCAGAACTCCCTTCTGGCTTCTTGCTTCAGAACTCCCTTCTGGCTTCTTGCTTTCCAGTCATCTTTGATCTAAAGTTTAAATGCACTGTCAGTCCCCATCTTTTATCATCTTAAAACCTGTTCTTTTATTGTCCTTTCTTTTCAATAACATTTTCTCAATTTCATTCACACTTAGTTATCCCTTGCTGCTTAGTGGCTTTTATCACCTTGCTTGTGGTGAAAGGATTAAAAAAAACACAAACAAAATTGTTAAATATATAATATTTGCAATATGAAACAAGGTAAAAACAAGTAAGGATTTGGAAAATGTTCCAACTAAAATATTAGAAGAATAGTTTTGAGATTCTATTTCTTTGGATCTAGCTTTACTTCTACTTCATAAATGTCATTCTTGATCAGTCTCAAGAATTATTTCCAGAAGACAAAAGTGTCCTTCACTATGACCATTCTAAGAAGAAAATAGTCGTATTTGTAAACTGTCTACTTATGTAAATCATGGAGAAGATTTATTAGGAAAATATATAAAAACCGTTATTACACCCATAGTGGGATAACAAACAGAAAATATATATCCAGAAATACTGAGCAAATGATTTTGTTATTGTCTAGGGGAAACAGTGAGTAAGCTACCTAACAATTTTTTGTAAAGTGATGACAAAACAGGGATTGGAAAGTATAATGAAAATGGATACCTTACTAAGAGTTACAAAGGACTGGAAGTTGTGGAGAGCTATGACCATCCATGACCTAAAGGGACATTCTGTATAAAAAAAAAGAAAAGAATACTTTTTCTCTAACACCAGGATATAGTGATTCATTATGCAAATGTATTAAAATTTTGATTCCATCTCATTCTTACAAAAAGATAAATGCAGTAAATTCAGATGGTAGAGAGTTAAAAGGAACATAAATTACTTGCAGTGTCAACTGCATCTGAACTTAGTACATCTAGGTAAAATCTTATCAGTTTTTATTGTTGGCAACTAATCTTACCATGACTTTGGCTTCTATAGTAACAAGCAAAATTTGATTATTAAACTCCAAATTTTTTTTTTTTTTAATATTTTTATATTTTAATGTGAATTTGTTTTAGCAAGTTTCACTTTTCAGACTTTTTGTTAAATGAAAATCAAGAAAAAAAGGACTGGTCAGTCGTATATATTAGCCCATTAATAACGACTATTGCAACAATAGGTCATAAGTAGAAACCAGTAATTAATACTGGATTTTTTAAGAAACCAATAATTAATAGCAAATCTTTTAGTTTAATTTTTATCATAAATACCAGATTTTTTAAGAATGATAATGAATATAATGAATACCATTTTTTATTTTTATTTATTTCTTTTTTTTTTTTTTGAAACTTAAAATGAATACTGAATTTTAAAAATTCTACAATGAATAATAGATTTTTAAGGAAACTATAATTAATACTGGATTATTTCAAAAACCTATAATTAATGGCAAATCTTTTAAATATCATTTAATGAATACTAGATATTTTTTAGAAATTTATAATAGTGGATTTTTAATTTAATTTTTATATCAGGTGTATTTAAAAACCTGTAATTAATACTAGATTTTATGGATAGGATTAATAGGTTAACACTTATAAAATAAGCCTGTTATTACATATTGAATTCAAATTCTTTACTAATTATTTTACTACAAAAATGCTCTTCTAAGTGCATTGAGAATCAGAAGTAAAGGGATTATCAAAGGTCTGTAATGAATGCAAAGTTACTGACAGAATTGAGCTAGTTATAATGTAAATGAATTATGATTTTACAATAAAAATGCACTGAAAAGAGGGAAGAAAGGTATTATCAATGAGCAGAAATTAATGCAAGAGTTAGTAACAGAGTAATGCCATTATTGTCATAATTTGTCCCCATTAAAAAAAAAAAAAAAAAAACTAGGAGAGAAAATGCATAATTGAATGCTGCAGGTTGCCACTGAAAAGTGCCTAATTACTGGAATAATTTCCATGAGACTACATATGAACTTAAGTTAGGATCATCCTGAAGATAGAATGGTTAAATCTGAAACTTCATTTGGCTTGGATATTCAATAAAATATTTTAAAGTTTCAAAGCACATTTCAAAGAAAACTAAATTAAAAAAAAAAAAAAAATGTGATAATAAAACTGCACATCTATTTTCATTCGTATTTCAGACTAGATTTTTAAGGGCTTGTTCTCATTTTGTATTAATATTTGAAAAATGGATTTAGTTGATCTAGAACATATTTTGAATAAAAATTAGGCTAATTCACACACACAGAGAGAGAGAGAGATTTCTGTAAAGGATGTCAAATCTAAATGTATCAATAGCAGGAAATAAGAAATGAATTAAAAGTGTCATTATGGCTAAACTATAAACGTATGATTCCAAAACAGTTATTAAGTTGTATTTTTACTTCTTTATTTTCTGCTTTTTTCCTTTTCCTTTTTCTTTTTTTTCTCTTTTCTTTCTTCTTTTTTCTTTTTTCTTTCTTCTTTTCCTTTTTTTCTTTTTCCTTTTTTCTTTTTCTTTTTTTCTTTTTCTTTTTTCTTTTTCCTTTTTTTCTTTTTTTTTTTTTTCCTTTCTTTTTTTTCCTTTTTTTTTTTTTTTTCTTCTTTTTCCTTTCTTCTTTTTCCCTTTTTCTTTTTTCCTTTCTTCTTTTTTTCCTTTCTTCTTCTTTTTTCCTTTTTCCTTTTTTCTTTCCTTGTTTTCCTTTCTTCTTTTTTCCTTTCTTTTTTTTCCTTTCTTGTTTTTCCTTTCTTGTTTTTTCCTTTCTTTTTTTTTCTCCTTTTTTTCTTCTTTTTCTTTCTTCTTTTTTTTTTCTCCTTTTTCTTTTTTTTTGTCCTTTCTTTTTTTTTCTTTTCTTTTTTTTCTCCTTTCTTGTTTTTTTCTCCTTTCTTGTTTTTCTCCTTTCTTGTTTTTCTCCTTTCTTGTTTTTCTCCTTTCTTGTTTTTCTCCTTTCTTGTTTTTCTCCTTTCTTGTTTTTCTCCTTTCTTGTTTTTCTCCTTTCTTGTTTTTCTCCTTTCTTGTTCTTCTCCTTTCTTGTTTTTTTCTCCTTCTTTTTCTTTGTTTTTTCCTTTCTTGTTTTTTCTCCTTTCTTGTTTTTTCTCCTTTCTTGTTTTTTCCTCCTTTTCTTTTTTTTTTTCTCCTTTCTTGTTTTTTTTCCTTTCTTGTTTTTTTCTCCTTTTTCTTGTTTTTTTTTCCTTTCTTGTTTTTTCTTTCTTTTTTTTTTCTCCTTTCTTGTTTTTCTCCTTTCTTGTTTTTCTCCTTTCTTGTTTTTCTCCTTTCTTGTTTTTCTCCTTTCTTGTTTTTCTCCTTTCTTGTTTTTCTCCTTTCTTGTTTTTCTCCTTTCTTGTTTTTTTCCTCCTTCTTTCTTGTTTTTTCTCCTTTTCTTGTTTTTCTCCTTTTCTTGTTTTTTTCTCCTTTCTTGTTTTTTCCTTTCTTGTTTTTTCCTTTCTTTTTCTTTTTCTTTCTTCTTGTTTTTTTTTCTCCTTTCTTGTTTTTTTCTCCTTTTTCTTGTTTTTCTCTCCTTTCTTGTTTTTCTCCTTTCTTTGTTTTTTTTCTTCTTTCTTGTTTTTTCTCCTTTCTTGTTTTTTTTCTTTTCCTTTCTTGTTTTTTTTCCTTTCTTGTTTTTTCTCCTTTTCTTGTTTTTCTCCTTTCTTTTCCTTTTTTCCTTTCTTGTTTTTCTCTTCCTTTCTTGTTTTTTCCTTTCTTGTTTTTTTCTCCTTTTCTTGTTTTTCCTTTCTTGTTTTTTCTTTTCTTTTTTTCCTTTTTTTTTTCCTTTCTTGTTTTTTCTCCTTTCTTGTTTTTCTCCTTTCTTGTTTTTTTTCCTTTCTTGTTTTTTCTCCTTTCTTGTTTTTTCTCCTTTCTTGTTTTTCTCCTTTCTTGTTTTTTTTTCCTTTCTTGTTTTTTCCTTTCTTTTTCTTGTTTTTTTTCCTTTTCTTGTTTTTTTCTTTCTTTTCTTGTTTTTTCTCCTTTCTTGTTTTTTCCTTTCTTGTTTTTCTCCTTTTCTTGTTTTTCTTCCTTTCTTGTTTTCCTCCTTTCTTGTTTTTCTCCTTTCTTGTTTTTTCCTTTTTCTTGTTTTTCTTCTTCCTTTCTTGTTTTTCTCCTTTCTTGTTTTTTCCTTTCTTTGTTTTTCTCCTTTTCTTGTTTTTTCTCTTTCTTTTTTTTTCTCCTTTCTTGTTTTTTTCCTTTCTTTTTTTTCCTTTCTTGTTTTTTCCTTTCTTGTTTTTTTCTCCTTTTTTTTCTTCTTTTCTCCTTTTTTTTTTTCTCCTTTCTTCTTTTTTCCTCCTTTCCTTTCTTTTTTTTTCTCCTTTTTTTCTTTTTTTCTCCTTTCTTCTTTTTTCCCTTTTCTTCTTTTTTCTTTCTTCTTCTTTTTCCTTTTTCTTTTTTTTTCTTTTCTTTTTTTTTTCCTTTCTTTTTCTTTTTTCTTTTTTCTTTTTTTTCTTTCTTTTTCTTTTTTTTTCTTTTCCTTTCTTCTTTTTTTCTTCTTTTTTCTTTTTTTTCCTTTTCTTTTCAAAAGATCAGACTGAAGTTAGATATAAAATAACTTTCGATTTTTGGATTGAACCAAAACTGTTTTCTGTCATTTTTGTGTGTGTGTGTGTCAAGAATGAATTTATCCTCAACTTAACAAAGCCAGCAGCCAAAATTCCAGTAAGTCAATAGCAAAAAGTGACAATAATTTTAACTTTGCCTTGAATAAATGTAGTTTTTTATGTTACTGAAAGATAGAAACCCTGTTTCCCTTCTTGCTGGTGGGGAATTTGATTTTCTTTATATGGGTTTTGGATCAATCACATATATATATATATATATATATATATATATATATATATAGAATCTGACAGAATAATAAAGAACAAATAGGAAGCATTTATCAATCTAAGATGTTTCAATTTTATTAAAGAAGATTGAGATATGGAGAAAAAGAAGAAAGACATTCTGGTATTTTTACTTTTGTGTTGTGTCACTCCAATCTTACCATCAGAATTTTAACTGGACAGAGGAGTATCTTTATCTCACAGGATAAGCAGATGCCTATCATTTATAACCAGAAATTGAGCCAAAATATATTTTCTTGGCTCCCATGTCACAATATTCTTCATATATAAAACAATAAAAATGCTCCAAAATGAAACGCTGGATGGAAAAAAAACATGATGCGCTAAGGGATGACAACACATTGAACAGAAGGCTCTATGTAGAATATGGTGAGATACAAGATGTACAAGTTATGAAATGGTTACCAGCTTAGAAGGAATTTATTAGTAAGACTAAAAGTTACTGGACAAACTTCAAATATTGACTCACATCAAGACCTACCTGTTGGCAGGGGCCTACAAGAAACCAACTATATCCCCTGCAGAGGATTACCCACACACACACACACACACACACTAAAAAGATGGGGGCCACTTACCAAGTAAATGATTGCAGACTCTAGCATAAATGCAACTACTGTTTACTTATAAACTAAAAAATAAACACAAATAAATGTGACCAATGTTTAGCCATAGACTCAAGTACAATAATAAAAAAAAAAAAAAAAAAAAGTCATCTCACATTGAAACATTGGTTTCTATAGGATCACTGAAGTTAAGCAATATTGAGCCTGGTTACTTCTTAGATTGGTGATCACTTGGGAATACCAGGTGCTGTAAGCTTGGATGTGCAAGTGGTGTAATAGATAATGGCTTGGAATTGTTAATCTGAGAGCTGAGTTCCAATTTCAGTTGGGTTTGTTATATTCACTTGTGCAAATACCCTTAGGAAAGGTATGAATCCACCTCTTCTCCTCCCAGCTATGGGTCAATCAGTATGACATGTATCATTAAATCATTACTATCTCTCAAAAAATTCTTACAATTTAAAAATATTTTTTGGCTTTAAATAACCTGCAAAGGGTTGATAAGCCATAGAAAACAGATCAATCAAATAAAATTATTGATTCTTTTTTATGTTATGAAATTAATAAACTAATAGCTGACAAGACAACAGTTCAAAGTGATGTACATTAGCTTCAATAGTCTCTTAAATTCAGTCCTTTAATAAGAAACACAAAATAAAATCTATCCAGTAATTAATATTCCTGCAAAACTAATTTAAAATAAAAATTTGAGGGTGAGATTATTTAATCACAATAATCTTCAAATTTCTTACAGGAAGTGTTGTCAATTATCATAAGTTACTGACCTCTTATTTGTATTGCATTTTATTGCATTGTTCAGGTTATCACAGGCTTACAGTCATATCACATAGAAGCACCAGGTCTTGTACAATCACCAAAGTTAAACAACAACTAGCCTGGTCAATACCTTGATGGGTGACCTGCTTGGGAATGGCAGGTTTTGATGTACATGTGATATAATGGAAATTGAAGAGAACAATTCCACTCATTTTATTCACTTATGCACAAATACCCTTGGAACAGTATGAATCTACTGCTTCTCCCCACAGCTATGGGTTAATTAGTAGGACTTGTATCAGTAAATCATTATTATCTCTAAAACATTTTTACAATCTAAAAATGTTTTCTGTCTTTAAATAACCTGGAAAAGGTTGACCCCCCCCACACACACACACCAAAAAAAAACAAAAACAAACCAAGCAATTAGAAATACAGGTTATCATTCTGTGACCAAGTCATTAGCCTCTGACAAACCTCATAGCTTTATTCAATAGTCATCAGATAACAATTTTAGATTTGTCATAAACAATGATCAGAAATAAGATGAAGGACAAGTGAGAAATATTTAGTCATATATTGGTCATTGTTTAAATTCTGCAAGTCAGACAATGATTTTATATATGTATCGTCAACAGTCACATCCTGAGTTGTGTAAAACTTTCTCTGAAGTCATACACTGCATCTTCTATTAACCATTTTGTTTTATTAATACATAAAATAAACACTTACTTGATTATATTCTGGGTATTATGATAAACTACATCCATGTCCTGGGTAACGCATCCAACAGCAGGGTCTCTGATTGGAGGGTTGAGGAGTGAAGGTTTGAGGAGTGTGGAGCCGCCTCTTTAATTGCTTGTGTTCCTGGGTTCACCTTGGCTCAGGGTGGTGGCACCTGTTGGGGTTCCAGCGGGTGGTTGACCCCAAATGGGAATCGGGGCACTGTGACAGTGTAAAATATGTTTTTGAAAAAAAAAATATTTTACCGGTGATACTTTTATGAAGGAAAAATTAACAGCAATCCATTGTCAAGGAAAAATTATTACCAGCAATATAGTTTTGAAGGAAAAATTATTATCGGAGATAGAATTTTGAAGGAAAAATTATTACCAGCAATACATTTTTGTAGAATAAATTATTACTAGCAATGCTTTTGTGAAGGAAGAATTATTGTCAGCAATACATCTTTAAAGGAAAATTATTAAAAACAAAATATTACCAGCAATACATTTTTTGGAATAAATATTACCTGCAATAGATTTTTGTAGAATATTACCAGAAGTAGTTTCTTGAAGGAAAAAATATTACCAGCAATACATTTTTGAAAAAAAAAAAATTATTACCAGCAATAAAAATTTTATCCACATTAAATAATCCATTGAGGTTGATAAGCTGTAAGAAAAACAAAAAAGAAAAAAAAACAACTTGATTATAAAGGTTTATTGCTGAATGAAAACAACATCTGTCTGTGCAGTTAGGATGAAAATTCTTTTGTTCTGCATACATAGAAATAATTGGAAGCTATGTGTATAAAATTCTCATATCAGTCTTGGATTAAAAGCTACATTATATTTTTAAAGTTTTAAGATAGATTTCAAAGTTTATTTGACAGATAAAGAAAGATTTTGTATTAATTTTAGAACTGCAAAAGTTAAAAAAAAATATATATGGTGCAAATTGCAAAAGTCATTGACACGTCCTACTGATCCTTGAAAGATTCTGAACAAGTCAGATAAAGACAAGCTGAGCATTTCATTTTGCTGATTTGTGAACTGTATCAAGAAAGAAGTGTCAAACTATGAAATGTTTAATCATTCAAACAACTAGGAACTTTCAAAAAGCTCAGGAGGTTTGGTGAAAAAAACTTATGACTGATCACTTGGCCTCAATTAAAAGGCATACATGAAGAAAATGAAATGGACAGCAAAGTAAATGAAGAACTATTTTAAAAATGTTTTTTTCACTAACCAATTCAGTTCTACCTATGATAAGCTTGAAAAGGCTATGTAGCTATTGTTAGAAACATTCCTCGGTGATTAAGATATCACCAAGTTGAAGGTGGTTTAATGCTTTCAAGTGGGATTATAAGTGTTAGTAGGTCTATAGCAAGTTCCAGATGTTTGTAGATGATAGATTGATTCTTGAAGGTACATGTACAGCCATAATTCAAAAAGACAGAAGATGATCTTTTATGTTTGACATTGTTCCATCATATTTAACAAAGGAAACTAATAACGATCCAAATAAAATGAGCTTCAAAAACATTTGGTTAATGAAATGGTTGGCTTGTTCACATGACTTCACTGAAGACGTGTGAAGCATTCAGATGAAGTTTTATAATGGAAGTTTACCCAGAGAGACAAACTTTTCAATGCTCTTTTGAATGTTGTGCAATCTGTTTCATATGAAGAAATAAAATGACTCATTAAAACAATAGATGCACAATTTTAAGAAACTTATCTTTCACATTAATGTTGTTTTTTATAACTTGTTTTTGTTTCAGTTTTTTGTCCATTTGCACACGTTTTGTCTACATAAACTTTACGCATCTTTTGTCTACCTAAACTTCACGCGTGTTCTGTCCACCTAAACTTCACGCGTGTTCTGTAATTACAATATTTAATTACAATATAAAATTTCAGGAAGTTTCAGTTCCAAGGCTAATTTTGCGAAATCTGATAAAATCCATAAAATTGTCACAGTATCATAACACTATCCTTTAGTTTACTATAATTTAGTCATATTCTGTGAAATATCATGCATTTAAATAGCAGGCATATTATTCATTATCTTTTCATTTGTCACCTCCTATGTGCCACTTCGCTTCAGATGATTATGGCCCTCCACAACTTCCTACCTCATGTGACTCTTAGCAGTTTTTCTTCTATTGATAATACTCCCACCCTCCCATTCTGCTATCCATTCAAACAAGATCATCAGATAGGTGGCTCTCTTCCTTCCTCTATTTCTCTTGCCTTCAGTAGACCCTGTGAGGGTTAAGTTTTCCAAGCCCTCCTTACTCAGTGTATCCAAAGAACTTCAACTATCTCTTTCTGATACTGAGTCTAAGCATTCTTTCTGTTTCCATTTTCTTTAAGACTTCATTGTTGCTTAATTGCTATATCCATGGAATTCTCAGTATCCTTCTGTAGAACCACATTTTTTGCTGCTTCTAGTTTTCTCCTCATCCCTGGGTAGATTGTCCAACATTCTCTGACAATGTAAGTGGATAGATATCGCAAAGCAATCCAGCATTATTTTATTTGTTTCTTACAAATTTTTTCCATTTCTCAGCACTTAGCTTTTAGAATGCTACTTTTGCTAGATCAATGTGTGTTTGGATGTCAGTCACACTTCCCAGATATTTAAACTTGTGCACATGCTTGATATTGATATCTCTAATTTATAACTCACATTTTGGGTTTCTCTTTTGTTTCCTTGCAGTTAAGTCATTTTTTTCTTGCTTTCTTCTACTACCCTGTCAAAAAGGTCCTGTAGTTTTCTTTCCAAGTTGACTATCAACACAGTATCATCTTATATGGTTTAGATTATACCCACTGATAATAAATCCTGGTAGGGTCTCCCTTACTTTAGTATAGTGTCACTGTAGAGATTGAAAGAATCTGGGGAGAGGATATATTCTTGTCTCTTGCTACTTTCTATTTTTTTTTTATTCTAAAAATTAGGATAGATTAAAAGGTCTGTGTATAGAATCATGTCTTTAAGTTTGTAATAGTTTTGATAAATTGTGGGCTTACAGCCATATGACATTGAAACATTGGTTCTCATCTGATAACCAAAGTTACACCACATTGAGCCTGGTCAGTACTCTTTTGGGGATTACCATGTGCTGTAAGCTACATGACAGGCCTAACAAGATAGAATCTCACTACTCATACTAACAGGTTGTTCTGAACTGACAGGTCACAGGAACTACTTGGCGTTGGGTGAGATAAATTGTAAAGGGTGTTCCAATAACTTGGACCGATTTTAAATGTGAATTAGGTTTAAGGGGCTAATGATTTTTTTCTTTCATATTTAACAATTTAAGTCTTTGGCAATTTTAACCATGGAAAGATTAACAATCAAATGTGTTAAAGTTATTGAAGCTTTTTACAAAAATGAACGTTCAAACAGAAATGCATTCTGTGCACTTCATAATTTTTTTGGTCAACATAATCAACTGAGAGTGCAGTTGGAAATGATGTAATGTTGTGGAGAGGTTCAATTCCTGTGCGCGATGATAAAGAGGTGTTTGGATTTTTAGTCACATTGCACTGCAGCAATGTTTTCAGCTGAATGGCATAAACAAGCATGCCATGGTGTTTTCACATCTGCCCCCAACCCAGATTGTTTGAATTTACAAACAAATTTTCCACTTGTACTCTTGAAACTTTAACATGCTGTTTGATTGTTAATCTTTCCATGATTGATATTGCCAAAGATTTAAGTTTTTAAATCTGAAAGAAAAAGA